CTTCCTCTCAAACTTGTAACGACCGAAAAATCCAACCAATTTAAAATTTTCAAAAACAACCCGATCTCTTTAAATTATTACAAAAAGGATTTCAATACAAATCATTTAGAGTATTCCCAGAATCACATTACTACAAAATCATGAGGAGCGGTACGATCATGCCTTTGCCTTGCCACGGTCTCCTGAAGAACCTGAAAAACATTAAACCACAACTGTAAGCCCGAAAGCTTAGTGAGATACCCCCAAAATACCAACCACATATACCATACACATATCATGCTATCTCATAACGAATCACAGAACAGCCATGCATATCGAGTCTACTGTGGGACTGGTCCGTCTTGTCGGGCCTTCAGTCCACCTGGTCCACCCTCCGTGTCCAATCATGTCCCTCGAGTCTGCAGTGTGGTTGGTCCTCCCGTACTGGGCCTTCAATTCACCTGGTCCACTCTCTAAGTCCAATCATGTCCCTCGAGTCTGCAGTGTGGTTGGTCTGCCTGTACTGGGCCTTCAACTCACCTGGTCCACTCTCTGAGTCTACAGTATGACTGGTCCGCCCACATCAGGCCTTCAGTCGGCCTGGTCCACTCTCCGAGCCTTGGCACGTCTGGTCCGCCCTCGTGGGGCCTACAGCCTATCCGGACCGCTCGCTGGGCCTTCGGAATAACCGGTCCGCCCTGGTATCTTGGCCTACAGCACGAAGCAGGACCCGCCTCAACCCAACTCCAGTCCAAACAATCATGTGCACATAAACATACAATCATATAACAGTTCATAATCAAACCGGTATAGCAGATCACATAGCATAACATACTCTAAGCAGGATACCGACCTAACCGGTCACTAGCATATCATCATCCTATCTACCAGGATACTGACCTTAACCAGGTCTCTATCGAATACCATCCTAACTACTCAGATGTAAACATATCAAGCAATAACATAACAACAGATACCTGGATCTCAATCCGATAAAGGGCCGACCTTGGTGCCTTAGACCCTGTTGATATAGTGAGGATAACTCACCTCGAAACCACCGGCTGAAAGGATAAGATCCCGCTGCTCCAAACTCCGACATGAACTCCTCCACTGAACACCAAAACACTCAACTCAATAAATACCATTAATTACCAAAATACCCCTGGAAGACAACTGGTCAACCCTTGGACAAGGTCAAAGTCAACCCCTGACTGACTCTACTCGCCGAGTCAACCTGATGACTCACCGAGTCCCCACACTCAGAACTTCCCTCAATCCGCGACCTAACTCGCCGAGTCACCCCGAGACTCGCCGAGTCCACTTGTACCCAACTCACTGAGTCATCCCTTGACTCACCGAGTCTCGACTCAACCAAAAAAATATTGGGACTCTTCGACAACACTCGCCGAGTCCAAGAACAGACTCGCCGAGTCTAAGGCTATCTTCAACCTACTCGCCGAGTTGTTCATCCAACTCGTCCAGTTCCAGCTCATCTTCAAGCAACTCGTCGAGTCCACCCTTGTGACTCGCCGAGTACCACCGGTCTGAATCCATACAGAAGCATTCTAGGCCATGCAATTGATCCAAAACATATATCTAGCCTCCTACAACCCATCCATCACGTAACGTGGCAAACTTTACGTGAATCCAAAGAGATCTAGGCCTTATACACTTTAGAGCTAGGATTTGGGACATGATGGCTTCACTAAGCACTCAAACACAAGGACTTTAATGCACTCTAGACCTTCCCCATTCCAGATCTGAGGTAGCAACCTCAGATCTAACCTCCAAACTCCAAAACATACCAAGATAAGCTCCCCATAATCCCCAAAATGATGAGTCCATATGAGTAACAGCCCAAGAACGAGATATTACTTCAAAAGAATGCCCCAACTGCAATGAAACTCGAATCCAAGCAAAGCCCCTTGCTCCAATCCTCCAAACTCCCAAGATTCCTTCAACAAATACTCTTCAAGCTCCCAAATGCACTTAGATCCACTGACACACGAATGCTAAGGGTTTCTGGACTTGAGGATGAGTAAAGAGGCTAGGGGAATGGATGTTAAGTTCTTTATATTGGGCTCAACCCCGAGAATTAGGGTTTTCTCCACTCACCACCTACTTGCCGAGTCCATCTTTGGACTCGCCGAGTAGGCTACTTGACACGCGACCAAAGTCACGACCTTACTCGCCGAGTCCATCCATGGACTCGCTGAGTTGCCCTTCAAGATTTACACTTTTAGGCCTTCAACTATACTCTTGATATTTCGGGATGTTACAAACCTCATAAAGCATTTCATAAGCTTTCAATTCTATCTCCGACTTTGATAACTTTTGATCCTTGGAACCAATCATTTCTTTAAAAGTATACAACAATAATTGAGACTTCATTGTAGGGTCTAGTAAGATCGCAAAGTAAACATAATCACTCATCTTTGCATAGTCGCCCCAATATTTGTCATAATCTTTCATCTCGGGTATCAAATGAACAAAGTTGACTTTGGTTGACCATTTTTTAAGATGTAGGTTCACATCTAAGATTTCTCGGATTAATCGATGGACTAAAGGTTTTGTTGAAGCCAAAACGTTCTCCATTTTCGTCTTAAATTTTTCAAGGAAATCCACCATCTTTTTTATTGCCTCGAAGTCCATACGATCCGGTACTCTTTGTAGATCCTTCTCATACGATTTTTCTATCAAAATCCAAAAATAAAAACCAATTAAACTTTCATATATAAAAAAATGAAAAAAAAAATGTTGCATTGATATGTTGTTTTTCCAGGCTTGTATCTAATTCAATATTTAACCAAAATATGGTTTGTAAAAGTCTAAACTGAAGTATATAAACACTAAGCTACATGTTGAAAAAAATCAAGTGATTCCGACTTCATATAAGTGAGTTATGCTATTTTAACAACCGGGACACAATAATAAAATGTGCTGAAACAGAAAAATGTTGCATTGATATGCTATCTTTCCAGGCCTGTATCTAATTCAATATTTAACCAAAATATGATTTGTAAAAGTCTAAACTGAAGTATAAACACTAAGCTACATGTTGAAAAAAAAAATCAAGTGCTTCCGACTTCATATGAGTGAGTTATGCTATTTTAAAAACCGGGACACAATAATAAAATGTGCTGAAACAAAATAAGAAAAGTAATACCTTTGATGCCAAATTCCACAAAATCTTCCCATAACTTGTAGGCAGTTTTCAACAACTCGAATGTCGAGTTCCATTGGGTTGGAGAGTCGCCACACAAAAATTTATTTGTTTCCAACCCCACATCTTTGATGGCTTTTTTAAACTTCTTAATCATTTGTGTTAAACCTCTAATATACTTCACCGCCTTTTGTACACATTCCACATGATAGTTATGGTATTTAACCCAACCTTCACGATAAGGTTTAGGATGTGAGCCATACACCGTATGTGGAAATTTTTTCCACCGTCGTAAATCATGGGAAAGATTTTAACCAAAAAATCGATTGTCGTGTCATTACACGTGGAATTATCGACGGTCATTGACGATCTTATCCGATATTACCTATGTATAGACACTTGTGGAAAAGTCATCAATTGAATCAGTTATCTAATCTAGAACTATGCAACTTTAAACGACTATAGAATGATCATGTATGGATCAAACGAAATGAAAATGCCACCAATTATTTTATAATATTTCATCTAAACGTTGAATTTCAAGATGGAATTCCTTTCAACGGGTGGATAATGTAACAATTGGTAAAAATCAATTAGAGTTCGGCGGTCAAACCACCGCGAACCGCTAGGTATTAATGACTAATTGTGTGTAGTTTTATGTTTATAATGTATATTAAATAAATTATATTTGTAAATTCTTTTAGAACGTCTGAAACTGCTCAAACCGTCTATCGTTGAAGATTGAATCTATAACTGCTAAAAATTAAGTTCTATTTGAGACGTTAAAAATTAATTTTTTCATTAATTATATTTGAGAATTATGGATAATTGATTTGAGTAGATTACGTTCTCCTGATTTCGTGAATATACAGAACATCCAAAACGAAAGTCGTATGAACAAGTTACGTCTCTTTAAAGTTATAAAAATCAGTATTTATCTGATTTTCCTGAAACGGATTGTACACTCCTTCGTTTGGGATAGCTACGAATCTCGTAAACTGTTTTTGAATTGAGACAATGGTCTATTATGTTATTATATTTTTAGAATATTTTAACCTCTACCAAAATCAGATTCGTAAAATCTATCGAATCCAATCCAATTAATCGTGAAACTTTAAACGTAAATTCACGGAGTTTGGTACGTCAGAATTAAATTCCGTCCGTGTTTCTAGAATCACAACGATGAAGACAACAAGCATTTTCAGGAAAATTTCACGAAACGAATCAGTGGTACGAGAATTAAGAATCGGAGATTACATCACAAAATATATATCTAATAAATTAATAATTTTAATGTCCTTTTGACAAGAATCGTTTTAATACAAATTCTTATTTATATTATGTTATTTGTCGTGTATTTATATTAGATAACTCATTTTAAAATTTAAATTTACATTTTCTAATTATATGTTCAATTTGAAGTTATAATAACTTTAAAATTTTTATATATCTTTTAATTAATAATTTATTTAAAATAAATGATTAATAATTATAAATTTTTATAATAAAAATTTAATAAATTTTATAACCGTGATTTTCATTATTATAAACTATAAACAAATGAATAAATAAATAAAATGCACATTGATTGACTTTTACCCCAAATATATTTTAAAACTATGATTTGTACCACAAAATCATTTTTAAACAACAAAAATCCAAAAACTCAGATTTTCTTTTTACATTGCTTTCAAGATTGGATAAAGCTGAGCTGCTTCCCTCCACCTCCCTCTCCATTTGTTCTCTTCAATCGTACCAGCCAAAAAAAAACACCTCCTGCATTCTTCATTGTTTCAACTAGAACAACACCACAAAAAATTCTATTATTTTCTTCTCCTCCTTCGGAGGCTGCCAAGAACTACCTAAGAGGGCAGTAGCCCGTTTCTTCTTCGTCCTTCCTTTTTTTTTTTTTTTTCCTGCCATACAATCACAACCCAAACATCCATTTTGTTCATACCATAGATTCCTGTTGAAACAAACAAAATCCCAAAAGAAAATTCTTACCTATTGTTGACCGGAATTGCCAAAACAATGGGGTAACATCGTGATTGTTGGCCGCCAACCGGACATCCATCGGACCTCTTCTGCCTCTCGTACCTCACCCACGCACCATCCCTTCGGACACCGCTGCTGGAACCGACGAGGAACCTGCCGTAGCAGCCCCTCTCACCACTGTTGTCGGCAACATCGTGCTATTGTGAGTTCCAACCACCGCAGACCCACCTCCTTTCCCCTATCTCATTCTCGCACCAGGAGGAGGAACGGTGACAGGAGGCTGCCACCGCTAGCAAACTACCGCCATCACCGAGCTGCTTCTGCCCATGTCCTTCTTCGGTCTAGTCGACCGACGGAGCACGCCACTCGGGTGCGATGGGTCTGCAATCGGCGGACGAGAAAGAGAGAGCCTCGCTGCTTTCGTCTCTTCTCCTCCTTCGGTTCGGCCAAGCACTGGAGCCGCCTCCCTCTTCGTGATCGGCCGGGACGTCTGTAGTAGCAGCCGCGCGCCTGCGAGCTTCCTTCTCACCATCTGATTTCGTTGCTCCGTTCGTAACCCCATATCCCCTTTTCCTTCTTTCCCCAATCTGATGAGGACGATGAGACGCATCGACCCCTTTTGTACATTAGTGAAGTTAGCAAAAACAGTCCCTTCAAATGCAGTTTTAAATTAAAATAAGACACTTGACATAAACCTTTTCAAAATCAGTCCCAAAAGATTTAAATATTTTAAAACTAGCCCTATTGGATATAATATATCACAAAATTAGTCCCTTGTGTAAAATAAATTGCAAAACAGCCTTTTTCTTTTAAATATAAAAATATTTGAAAACAAGTCGCTTTATTTTAAAACGTTACTAAAGAAACCTGGAAACGTTTGAAAGTCCAATAATGGTTACGTTGCGACTAATCACGAAAAGCTTCACCAAAATCGAGTCTAGATCGAGATCATGCATCAAATGTGAGTTTCTACGACCTCTGTTTTAATGTTTTAATATTTGGGGGAGAATATATGCTTGTTTAATTAAGTTTTGATGATTTTCAGATTTTTATACATTAAAATAACATCGTACTTTATATTTGGTCGAAAGCTTATGAATTAGTAATCTAAATTGTATAAATCATATATAAGTTAAATAATATAAAGTAGAATGCTATAAATGACATAAATACACCTTGTTGTGATATATTAATTAATATTACTAAAATCACAATATTATATGTAAATTGCAATAATAACACCGGTTGGTATTGTAAATCACAAAAATGACGATTTTATATGTATAAGTTAAAGTATCGACGGGAAGAATGAAAAGATATACAAATGAGCAAAAATATTATTCGAGTATAATACGAAAGTACGTTGTCATATTTGACGAAAAAAAAACCTAGATTTATGAAAATATATAATAAATAGTTAAAATTATTGAAAACTAACTTTTAATATAGGATAAGTTATGTAGAAATGATTGTAAAATTTATTTATATATTTTTATATTAAATATAAAAATATAACTCATTCTATTAAATTATGGATTTCATTTCAATAAATAACAAGATCAACTTCAGAACTTAAGAGTCGTTATTTGCGACATATTTACATTGGATTAATCGTGTTAATTGCAAATATTATGGAATTGTTGGTTTCATGTTGGTTGAACACAAGGACTTTAATGCACTCTAGACCTTCCCCATTCCAGATCTGAGGTAGCAACCTCAGATCTAACCTCCAAACTCCAAAACATACCAAGATAAGCCCCCCATAATCCCCAAAATGGTGAATCCATATGAGTAACAGCCCAAGAACGAGATATTACCTCAAAAGAACGCCCCAACTGCAATGAAACTCGAATCCAAGCAAAGCCCCTTGCTCCAATCCTCCAAACTCCCAAGATTCCTTCAACAAATACTCTTCAAGCTCCCAAATGCACTTAGATCCACTGACACACGAATGCTAAGGGTTTCTGGACTTGAGGATGAGTAAAGAGGCTAGGGGAATGGATGTTAAGTTCTTTATATTGGGCTCAACCCCAAGAATTAGGGTTTTCTCCACTCAGCACCTACTCGCCGAGTCCATCTTTGGACTCGCCGAGTAGGCCACTTGACACGCGACCAAAGTCGCGACCCTACTCGCCGAGTCCATCCATGGACTCGCCGAGTTGCTCTTCAAGATTTACACTTTTAGCCCTTCAACTCTACTCTTGATATTTCGGGATGTTACAAACCTCATAAAGCATTTCATAAGCTTTCAATTCTATCTCCGACTTTGATAACTTTTGATCCTTGGAACCAATCATTTCTTTAAAAGTATACAACAATAATTGAGACTTCATTGTAGGGTCTAGTAAGATCGCAAAGTAAACATAATCACTCATCTTTGCATAGTCGCCCCAATATTTGTCATAATCCTTCATCTCGGGTATCAAATGAACAAATTTGACTTTGGTTGACCATTTTTTAAGATGTAGGTTCACATCTAAGATTTCTCGGATTAGTCGATGGACTAAAGGTTTTGTTGAAGCCAAAATGTTCTCCGTTTTCGTCTTAAAAATTTCAAGGAAATCCACCATCTTTTTTATCGCCTCAAAGTCCATACGATCCGGTACTCTTTGTAGATCCTTCTCATACGATTTTTCTATCAAAATCCAAAAATAAAAACCAATTAAACTTTCATATATAAAAAAATGAAAAAAAAATGTTGCATTGATATGTTGTCTTTCCAGGCTTGTATCTAATTTAATATTTAACCAAAATATGGTTTGTAAAAGTCTAAACTTAAGTATAAACACTAAGCTACATGTTGAAAAAAATCAAGTGATTCCGATTTCATATGAGTGAGTTATGCTATTTTAACAACAGGGACACAATAATAAAATGTGCTGAAACAGAAAAATGTTGCATTGATATGCTATCTTTCCAGGCCTGTATCTAATTCAATATTTAACCAAAATATGATTTGTAAGAGTCTAAACTGAAGTATAAACACTAAGCTACATGTTGAAAAAAAATCAAGTGATTCCGACTTCATATGAGTGAGTTATGCTATTTTAAAAACCGGGACACAATAATAAAATGTGCTGAAACAAAATAAGAAAAGTAATACCTTTGATGTCAAATTCCACAAAATCTTCCCATAACTCGTAGGCAGTTTTCAACAACTCGAATGTCGAGTTCCATTGGGTTGGAGAGTCGCCACACAAAAATTTATTTGTTTCCAACCCCACATCTTTGATGGCTTTTTTAAACTTCTTAATCATTTGTGTTGAACCTCTAATATACTTCACCGCCTTTTGTACGCATTCCACATGATAGTTATGGTATTTAACCCAACCTTCACGATAAGGTTTAGGATGTGATCCATACACCGTATGTGGAAAATTTTTCCACCGTCGTAAATCATGGGAAACATTTTAACCAAAAATCCGATTGTCGTGTCATTACACGTGGCATTATCGACGGTCATTGACATAACATTTTTCATACCCCACCCATGTATGCATGCTAGTAACTCTCGTCCAATTTCTTCACTTTTATGTGTATCTATCTCCCTAAAATTGATGACTCTCTTGTGCATGACCCACTCGTCATCAATAAAATGGGCCGTGACAACCATGTAATTGACCTTTTTACAAGAGGATGTCCAAGTGTCAGTTGTCAAGTATAAAACGGTGTTTGCATTACTAAAATACTTGAGTAATTTATTCCTCTCATCTAAGTAAAACTTGCCTACGTCTCGGGAAATTTTATGTCTAGAAGGCAAGATCACCCTACCATTAAGCGCATTAGTATATTCAATAAATGCTTCATTTTCAACATACTTGAATGGTAGTTCACCAACGGTAACAAGGCCTAGTAATGCTCGTTTGATCCTAGTGTCATCATGTTTCCATGATTGTACACTAGTCTCACCATTTGGTTCCTTCTTAAAATTCAATTTTGCTTGCTTTTTATATTTTTTTTTCTTTGTTGTCCGGGTTTAACTTGCAATTACTCAAATGTTTGATCATATTAGACGTTCCGTTTCGGTCCGTATCGGCTTTAAGTATTGTATGACAATGAATACATTCCACACTTTTCCTTTCAACACCATCATCCTATATATTACATACCGGCTCGAACGCTACCTAACAAGGAGCAGATCCTTTACCATTATCCCTTTCTCTTTCTCGTTTGCTAGTAATTGGTTTTCGCACGCCTCCATTCCTTTTTCGTTTCTTAGGACTTGGATTTGGCATTCTTTTCCAGATCCGTCACTAATATTATTAAATACCGGTGGTGTCTCACCAATAAAATCATCTTCATAATCCTACATTTGGAAAATAAGTTCAAAAAAATATTATATATCATCAAGCAAAATGAGTTCAAAAAATAAGTTTGATTCAAAAGCTCATCCATAAAAAGAACAATCACCAAATCAGTCAAATGGAAAATAAAAAGAAAATAAAAACAGGTTGCAAAATCATGTGAAAGTCATTCATCACATTAATCTCTAATATTATATGTTTTATTTTCTTTTTTTTTCCTACGTGCTTGCTTACTCCACCTCTTCACACCTCCTTTCATTCATGGGTTCTACCATTAAGTCATTAACAATATGTTTCAATTTATGATTCAGTGCCATATCTTCCATCATGTAAGTAGGAAAAAACGATTTCTATTCTACCCTATCATTCAAATGTAGGTTCTTTATAGGATAAGTGTGGTATAATATAAGGCAACAAAGTTTAGCATACACTATTGTTTCATAAAACTATTTTGTTCAAATTAATCCAATTTCTACGCTTAAATACAAATGAACCTATAACGAATATCACAAAGGCTCAATAGTCATTATTATTTAGCTACAAAGGTTGTTATATAACAACGACTAATTAAATACATAAAATAAAACTCACAAACAAAAACTTTATTCAAGCAAAACCCATACAAGCATCCCTAGCATACGTTGCACCTGTTGATTAAGAGATCCCTAGCACCAACAATTTTTATACAATAAGCAACAATAGCAACAATGACTTACTTGAATTTCATCTTCTGTATTAACCCAATTACTTGATTTTGGCTTCTCCATTGTTACCCAAAATAGATTTTTGTTTGTCAGGATCGGTTTTTTTTCACAATGTCGACTAGCGATCGTGATTTCCTAAACCCCAAATAAAACCGATCGTCCCTATTTTCCTCTGTGTGGTGATCGACTTGTTTTTAAACTCGGACTTGCCGTTTTGTGTTTAGGTTGATCAAGGAATAGATTAGGAAATTAGGATATATCGATATACACTCAATTAGATAGTATTTTGAAAATAGATTTTGCATGGATCGACTCTTACACTTCCGAGTCGTTTTCGGATTTTTAATCGGTTTTTGTTAGAACCGAACCGGTGGTAGACTCGGAACCGGTTTTTCCATAAGTCAAGAACCGATAACCGAACCGCTCTACTAATTTATGTCTGGTTCCGGTCCGGTTCCGGTTCCGGCAATTCAAAAGCTCATCCCTAGTTTTAACTATAATAAAAATAAAATTTTCACCCTTGATTTTTGGGTCGTTACATCAAGCTTAGGGATGACAGGATGCGAAAAATTATGAACCAAATCCGTATCCCTAAGTTTAGTGAACACGTGAGCATAATCTTGAATGAAGCTCCCAGGCTGAGGTGTCTCATCCCTCTAGGCTTCTGACCTAATGTGTTTATTTCTAAAGAAACATAATTTATGAACATGCATGAAAGCAGAGATTTCCACATGAGTGGCAAGTATCAAGCCTACAACGAAGACAGAATGCCAGGAATACTCAGGGCTAGTGTAACAATCAGAAATACCCGAGTAGAAGTGGGAACCAACGTCAATGGACCTTATATCAAAGCTATCTAAAGAAACATAATGGTTTCGATTTTATTCAGGCAGTGGTCCACATATTGACTAAGTCTGCCCACTTTCCACTAATCTAAGAACCACGTGAAATGGAAAAGTTAGCAGTACTTGCCGAAGAAATCGTCAGACTACACGAGGTTCCGATTGCTATGACAGACTTGAATAATTCATAAGGTACCCATTGTTGTTAATTAAATTTTCCCATGAAGATAGTTGTCACGCCAACATAAAGACCTCATTGTTTGATGCTTTGTATGACGAAAGTGTTGATCCTCGGTGTGTTGAGCAATGATTAAAGGTGCGAAAGTGAACAAAGAACATGTAGGTGATGCGTTGCATTTTGATCCATGAATCACTCATGATATCAAAGAAAAGATTATGTAATCTAAGAATGATTACATGTTGTACACGAATGACAAAGGATTTATGTGAACAAAAAAAATGTAAGTCTCTGGACTTCCAAGTCAGAGACCGGGTAACTTTAAAAGCTTTCCCTTTAAGAAGAATGATTCGACTTAGAGAACGAGTCAAGTTAAACCACGACTTAAATGACCTTCGAGATTCTTAGACAGAATTTGGTCCTAATCTTTATATAAGTCGTCTTGAGAACTAAACAGCATGCACGATGTTTTCTTCATACACTAAATCTGTAGGAGTGTTAGTCTGATGACACGCTTTTTATATCTTTCAATAAAGTGTATTATGATATAATACTAAAATTTCATGTTCGTGAATCTACACACGATTAAAATGTATGTGAGACTCGACAACCTTTAAAATATTTGAGTCGATCTTATTCGATATTACCTATGTATAGACACTTGTGTAAAAGTCATCTATTGAATCAGTTATCTAATCTAGAACTATGCGGCTCTAAACGACTATAGAATGATCATGTATGGATCAAAATGCCACCAATAATTTTTAATATTTCATCTAAACGTTGAATTTCAAGATGGAATTCCTTTCAACGGGTGGATAATGTAACAATTGGTAAAAATCTATCAGAGTTCGGCGGTCAAACCACCGCGAATCGTTAGGTATTAATGACTAATTGTGTGTAGTTTTATGTTTATAATGTATATTAAATAAATTATATTTGTAAACTCTTTTAGAACGTCTGAAACTGCTCAAACCGTATATCGTTGAAGATTGAATCTATAACTACTAAAAATTAAATTCTATTTGTGACATTAAAAATTAATTTTTTTCATTAATTATATTTGAGAATTATGGATAAGGGATTTGAGTAGATTACCTTCTCCTGATTTCGTGAATATACAGAACGTCCAAAACGAAAATCGTATGAACACGTTACGCCACTTGAAAGTTATAAAAATTAGTATTTATCTGATTTTCCTAAAACGGATTGTACACTGCCTCGTTTGGGATAGCTACGAATCTCGTAAACTGTTTTTGAATTCAGACTATGGTCTATTATGTTATTATATTTTTAGAATATTTTAACCTCTACCAAAATCAGATTTGTAAAATCCGTCGAATCCGATCCAATTAATCGTGAAACTTTAGACGTAAATTCACAAAGTTTGGTACGTCGGAATTAAATTCCGTCCGTGTTTGTGGAATCACAACGATCAAGACAAGAAGCATTTTCAGGAAAATTTTACGAAACGAATCAGTGGTACGCGAATTAAGAATCGTAGATTACATCACAAAATATATATCTAAGAAATTAATAATTTTAATGTCCTTTTGACAATAATCGTTTTAATACAACTTCTTATTAATATTATGTTATGTGTCGTGTATTTATATTAGATAACTCATTTTAAAATTTAAATTTATATTTTTTAATTATATGTTAAATTTGAGGTTATAATAACTTTAAAATTTTGATATATCTTTTAATTAATAATTTATTTAAAATAATTGATTAATAATTATAAATTTTTATAATAGAAGTTTAATAAATTTTATAACCGTGGTTTTCGTAATTATAAACTATAAACTAATGAATAAATAAATAAAATACACATTGATTGACTTTTACCCCAAATATATTTTAAAATTATGATTTGTAACAGAAAATCATTTTTAAACAACAAAAATCCAAAAACTCTGATTTTCTTTTTACATTGCTTTCAAGATTGGATAAAGCTGAGCTGCTTCCCTCCTCCTCCCTCTCCATTTGTTCTCTTCGATCGTACCAGCCAAAAAAAAAAAAAAAAAAAAAAAAAAAAAAAACACCTCCTGCATTCTTCATTGTTTCAACTAGGAACAACACCACAAAAAATTCTATTATTTTCTTCTCCTCCTTCGGAGGCTGCCAAGAACTACCTAAGAGGGCAGTAGCCCGTTTCTTCTTCGTCCTTCCTTTTTTTTTTTTTCCTCCCAAACAATCACAACCCAAACATCCATTTTGTTCATA